ACAATCATGTTAATTCCAATTTGTACAGGGTGGACTTGTGGTCTAGCAGACAAAATATGAAAGAAATTATTTCTTATCAATTTTGAAAAACATAGTCGTCTAGTTTTTGTGAAATGTCATTATTTGTTTAGTAATTTATTGATGTTCAGTGACAGTTTAATACTACAATATTTTTGGTATTCGTGAATTATTTAATTATTGCTTAGATTTAATTTCAATTAGAAATGGAGTTAAATGTAAAACAAAAAATTGAAATACTTATGATAATTGGGTATGGAGACAGATCGCGAACTCAGATGGAAGTGTGCAATTTGTTTAATGATAAATTTCCAGAAATACCTATAATGCGTTCAACAGTCAGTAAGATTAAAAATAAATTTCGAGAAACTGGTACGGTTGAAAATATACGCAAATCAGGTCGTCCCTCTGCAAATGCTGATACAGCATTAGATGTTTTACTTAGTTTTGAAGAAGACGCGCACACTTCTGTACGTAAAGTTGGGCGATATCGGTGTTAGCAAAATGGCATCCTTATAAAATCAAACTTGTGCAGGAATTAAACGAAGATGATCCCGATAGAAGAATCCAATTTTGCGAAAAAATGATGGATAAATGTCACCGAGACCCTCTCTTGATACAAAACATTATTTTTTCACGTTAAATGGCGAGGTTAATCGTCAGAATTGTAGATACTTGGCAAAAGAAAACCCCCACTGGATGCGTGAGCATCATGCACAATACCCGCAAAAGTAAATGTATGGGCTGGAATTGTAAGAAATCGAATCATCGGACCCTACTTTACCGACGGTAATTTAAACGGGGCAACGTACCTTTAGTTTTTAAGGGGGTATCTCGTACCTACTTTACGTAATTTGTATCCCAGCAGACGTAATCCTGGAGGTTGTGATGAAAGTTTATGGTTTCAACAGGATGGTGCACCTCCACATTATGCTGTAGATGTTAGAAGGTACCTAGATGAAATTTTTCCGAACGGGTGGATTGGTAGACGTGGACCTATCGAATGGCCAGCGAGGTCACCAGATTTCAATCCTTTGGATTATTTTATGTGGGGCCATCTGAAGAATGTTGTGTATCAAACGAAACCAGCAAATATTCAAGAATTAAAATAGAGAATTCGGACAATAATAAACAATATTTCTCAAGACACAATAAACAAGGTTCAGCAAGAATTTGTACACCGCTTGGGTTACTGTAAAATACAGCAAGGGCTGCAGTTCGAATATTTATAAAGTCATGTAGGAATTTCATCATATTCTGTCTGCTAAACAATAAGTATTTTTGATAATATTGTTAATTTAACCAATAAAGAATGTTACGCGTTACTTTATGAGCACACACAAAACTATTGTATTTTTGCCCACCCTGTACCAATTGGAATCAACATGTGATACATTTTTGGAATCAGCTCAGCTAGAGTAATCCGAAAATTGAGACAAAATGGGGGTGTTCCATTTAAAAAAAATGACAGTGACGTCATTACTCGAAAATAATTCACCCTGTATAATAGATTATTATTTTAAAATACGGTAAATTAAAATCAAAAATCGAAGTGTTTCAGGATTATTTCTCAAAATGGTCTGTTTAGCTAAAAATTAATTTGTTCCATACTTTACGGACACACTGTATGCAAGCATATTTATGGGTCAAAAATATACAATAACCTATATAAAATAAAATTTTATTATCAAAATAAAAAAAAACCTCATAAATAAAACTCAACTGTAAAACATTAAAAATACTACATATTCACCCCATATAAAAGATGTTCTCTATAATCTACAGAAAATAAAATACTTTATATTTAGAAAATAACAATTATTGTGAAAAAAACATTAAACCCATAGAAAATAAAACTATTAAAAAATAAAAAACGAATTCTCATAAATAAAACTAAACTAAAATACTACATATTTGCCCCATATAAAAGATGTTCCCTTTTATCCATAAAAAATAAAACAAACTTTATTATTAAAAAATAACATAAATATTTCTATTACTATCGAACGACATTTAGTCTGGAAAATCTAGTACTTTTTGTTTTTACACTGCAAACTATAAATACCCTCGTTTTGGGTATTTATAATGGCATTGGGTAAATATCCGGGTAAATACCCAATTTATAAATACCCTTCCCGCTGGGTATTTACCCGGCCCACATCACTAGCTACTACTAAATAAATATATTAGCGATCCGTTAACTTTAGGAAATAGTTCATTTTTCAAATCATTTCGCTGATAATCCCGCCCAAAAAAAAATGTTTATTCCAAGCAGGAATTTGGACCCCATTACTTTCTTGCAGTTTGTCCAGCATTTGTTGTGTTTAGCATGGATTTACATTTTTCTTTAAAAAAAATAACCCGGTATACTTCACAGCTTATGGTTACGCATATACAGCGAAATTCTGGAATAAAATTGTTATCTGTTCAACCAATAACCTAAAAAAACGCTGAAACACGTGAATTGTATTTAAATTTGATGTATTTGTTGCCAAAAAATTGAAATTTTTTCTTCAACCCCTTAGCTGCAACACTATGCAACTTTTTTTTCAAATCGGAAAATGATGTGTATACCGACTAGGGTGGCTACCTGTTCTTTTTTGAAAATGACAGTCCATTTTTAAACAATTTGTCCTTGTGACTTTTTAAAGCTTAAAATGTCCTTTTTTACGGCACATGTCCTTTTGTATCGCACTCCTTTATAAGGACCTGGTTTTTATAAAAATAAAGCCAAGGACTTTCTTTTAGTAGCTCGCCAAAAATATTTCCCGGATCCCTGTCGTCACCGTTGTCTTTTGTTTACTTTTCCAAAAGGTGGCAACCTTAATACCGATATATTTTGTGAGTAATTATAAAACAGTAAGATTACCCTGTATATTTTAAAATCTTACCGTTACATAACTAAAATGATGTTATTAACTTTCTCAAAAGAAATGCAAGGCCTCGTTTTAATAAATTTAAAACACATTTATTATTGGTGGATGGCTGCATAGCTCACCCTGTACAAAAAATCAAATAGCTAAATCTTTTAACTTTAAAATTATGAACTTATTGCAATAATTTCTCTGTGGTGCAATATTTTAACGGAACTAAAATATCGCAGGACATCACATCAATTGCTCTTCTTATATAATCTTTTACATAATAAGGTGCACTGCATTGAGCTAATGAAATATATATAACTTAGAGTTTCTAGACCAGGACTACGAATTTGTGTTTATCACGATCTGGAGGATCCCCTAGATATATTTTGTACTAGCCCAAAAAGTATAAAATCAATTCTTAATCTTAATGAAAATTAGTATCATACAATAATTAAAATTTTATTTTTCCTTTTTTTTCTGTTTTAAAGAACTTTTAGTCCAATGCGTCAAAACCTACTTAATTTAATTTTCAAATTTTAAAATTGTAAAGCATTTTTACAGACATACAATTTTTTTTTTCACATATTGCTTTTTTTTTTCAAGCGTATGTCTGTAACTTTGATGCTTTTTTGTATAAATGTTTACTTTTATGTTCTAAAACTTTTTGTTTTTGTTTTTTGTACATTTTCTCGTCACCCTGTAATTGGCATAAGCTGTTTTGGTGATGTAATTATAAATAAATATATAAATAAATAAAAAATAAATAAATACATTACTAAAACATGTAGTAAACGTGTTTATGCAACAAAAATTCAATCTAACTCATAACTTTGAAAAAAAAACTTCCGAAAAACTAGGCACTTTTTAATTGTAACACCCCGTATATCAAAAACTAGTCATAGCATTGAGTTGGACCCATTGGAACTTTTGGTTACTAGGTTGAGTACATAATAGTATAGTCGAAGTAGGGTTTAGGGTGGAACTAATTCCCACAAAGACGAGGTTTGAATTTTTAAGCTCATTACTCATATCCTTTCAACATACTAAAAGTTTAGAAAAATGTTAGTGTGCAAAATGCGTTTTTTGGCCGCCATCTTGAATTTGTTTCAAAATTCATGAAAAATCGTGTGTGGTATCAAAAAACGGGAAATTTTATGCTGAAACAGAACAGATTATGGATTAAAAAGGATACAAATAAATAACAAAATAATATGGAAAAAACTAAGTCTATACGGTATGTAAAAATATTTAAATTCTTTTTTTTTTTTTCAGGTGACTTTCGCAAGTTGTGAAAAATCCTAAGAAACTTAACATGGCAGATATAAACTGTATCTTGTGCTCTGAAAAAAAAAGGCGAAACTTCAAAATTTGTTAAGTTATCTGTCAAAGGTATACAAGGAATTATAAGTGCAAGTAAAATTCGAAAAGACAATATCCATGAGTTATTTGAACCATTTCCTGATGACCCCGTGAGGGTCCATGTTGAATGTTGCCGTGTATATACAAATCCTAGTAATATCCAGAATGATGCAAAATTCAAGTTATCCACTCAGAATGAAGCACAAGGTAGTTGCAGGCGAGTACTCCGGTCGAATATACCAACATTTTTATTCACAGAACAATGCTTATTTTGTGGTCGCTTTGTTACTGATCGTGAGAAACGGGATAAATCTGGGGTTATACAGGTCCGTACAGTAATGTTTTAAAAATCAGTTATGAAGGCGTGTAACTTCAGAAATGATTTATGGTCAGCAAAGGTTCAATCCCGTTTGCTTTTAGTTAATGACTTGCCAGCAGCAGATGCCATTTACCACCAGGCATGCAGCATACATTTTCGAAAAGGTGACTCGATCCCAAAAAAGTACCAAGATAATTCCAAAGACGAATTACGTTACAAACCTCTTGGTCATCCTATGGAGAAAGACAAGCTAGATGCTTTTTTGGAAGTATGTAAGTGGTTTAAAGAAAATGATGAGCCGGTTTGTGCTCAGCAGCTGGTTACTAAAATGAAAGACTTTCTACCAGTAGTGAACCATATAGTGAACGCCACATGCTGCAAAAGCTTAAAGAACATTTTTTGGGAATATCATCGTTTCCTCGAAGTATGGATTGCCTAATATGATAACTATGGGTGAAACAGTGGCTGATATTATTTTGGATTACCAGAAAAAGAAAAAATTAGAAGACCCTGAATCAGAGAAATATCATCTGATTGAAGCAGCAGCAAAACTGATCAAAACGGAAATCAAACTATTATCAACTACAACGGAGCACTATCCCTCGTCATCAGAGATTGCATTTGAACAGGAAAATAAAAAGTTGTTGTCATCAGTTCTGCAACTTTACTTGGATATTATCATTGGTCCTAAGGCAAGTGATTTGAAAAAGATTTTCATTGGACAGGCTTTGGTGCAAGTTTCAAGACCAAAATTACCTATTAATCCAATTCTCCTCGGTGTTGGTGTCCAGCTTCATCGCGATTTTGGTTCTCGGTTACTTGTAGACTAGCTTTACAGACTTGGGTTTTCCATATCATATGATGAAGTACTAAAATATTTACAATGTGCAATAATAGACAAGACACCAAATTTTCAAGTTCCACCAGGTCATTTCAGTCAGTGGATAGCTGATAATGTGGACCAGCCGCAGCCACAAAGAAAGGCAGCATGTGCTTTATAGTTTGTAAATGCATTTCTAAGTTTCCTGTTCGTTCAGCCCAAATAAATGCCTTGGCAATGTCAACCATATCTAAATACATGATCCATAGTTTGGCTGTTCTACTTTGGACCTTCAAAGAGTTCTTCTTTTTTAGCAATTCAGAAAACAACTGTAGTAGTTCGGTAGAGGAACTTATCATCAGAAAATGGTTCAAATAACTCATGGATATTGTCTTTTCGAATTTTACTTGCACTTGTAATTCCTTGTATACCTTTGACAGATAACTTAACGAACTTTAAAGTTTCGCCTTCTTTTTCAGAGCACAAAATATAGTTTATATCTGCTATATTAAGTTTTTTAGGATTTGTCACAACTTGGGAAAATCACCTGAAAAAAAAAAGGAATTTACATATTTTTACATACCGTATATTCTTAGTTATTTCCATACTATTTTTTTATTCATTTTTATTCTTTTTAATCCACAATCTGTTCTTTTTCAGCATAAAATTTCCTGTTATTTGATACCACACAAGATTTTTCATGAATTTTGAAAAAAATTCAAGATGGCGGCCAAAAAACGCATTTCGCATAATCAAATTTTTCTAGACTTTTAGTATGTTGAAAGGATATGAGTAATGAGCTTAAAAAATCAAACCCCGTCTTTGTGGGAATCAGTTCCACCTTTGGCCAATTTTTTGTGTAAATCTACTATACAATAAGTCAACTACGAAAGTTCATATAGATTTCAGTAAGATAAGTTATATAAATGAAAATTCTCTTTTTCCTTTGAATTTACTAACTACCATGATTTTAGTAACAGTACCTAGTACATACATATTTTCTTACAACTAGAACTTATAATTAAATGTACACTTTGATCTTGTAACAAACTGTGTTTTTAAATAGAATTACCTATATTTCGAAAAGACAATTTCCTACACTATTTATGATAGTTAAAGTGATGAAAAACAAGCGAGTACGACCTATGACGCTTTAAAGGAAAACATTAATAAAAAACTAGAACCGAAAAATACTACATTATGCAACGCTAATTCACAAACGAATACAAAGTATGAAGATTAAAGTTTCCAAAGTAAATTATGTCTCTTCTTTGAAGCGCATCTAAGTCATCCACTTACTTCGTTAAAATTCAAAAGTTCTGCAATGAAATATTCAACATTTTTACTTAATTCGCACAATTAAAATTTCAGATTGTGAGGAAATTGCCGAAAGATGGTATTTCTAGTTAATACCCAATTTATATTTCTCCATTTTGAATATATAATTAGGGCAAGAGTTTTCCGTCCGTTCGATCGTGAATGGAATACAAAAGAAAGAGGAGAAGTTTAATTCGATAATTTAGTAATATCGTCAACGAGAGTTTACTTAAATATAAAGTTTTACGGGTTTCGGATCGTTTAACGTTAGATACTAATTGGATTAATTTTTAAAATGGTATATAATTTAAATTATCTGGCTAAATCTAAAATACGATATTCCATTTTCGAGAAATACTGAAATATTATTAATGACAGATTAATTTAAAAAACTACTTTATCAATTTTAAGCTGCGTTTTGTGCCAATCAACTACAGTCTGAATAAAAAAGGAGTGCAGTTAAAAAGGGGATATAACGTCACATTCCATAGGCGTACTTTGCAAAATAAAATTCTATAATATAAATAAGGCCACAACCTATCAAATGGTATGCACGCACTTCGCACTACAAATCTCCGAGCAATTACTACTAGAGGGAGTCTTCCCCCCTTCCCCGCGCTAAATTTTGTTAGCAACATCTACTCCCCCGAGGGGGAAAATAGCTCTTCTGTAAGTGGCTTATTTAATCAGCGTTGCCAAGTAAGACAGCGCCAGTTCTAACAGTTCCTGACACATGTCAATTTCTTATTTGTATTTTACGGAAAATATTGTTATTTATAACGTTGTAAGGGTTGTAAATGTATATTTAAGATTTACTATCTCTAATAATATGGTGAAAACATGCTTTATTTGTAAAAGGCCCGTTGAAAATGCTTCTTCAAGATAATATCATAAGTAAGTACAGACACAACCTAATTATAAGAGGCGGTGCATTAGGCAATCACCTTTAATTTGCAATTAAACTTTCTTATTTTCTTTTTGAAAAATTAAAATTAAGAGCAAATAAACTCCAGCTAAGTTCGTCTTCATCCGTTGTAACGGTTAAAACCGTTTTCGTTATTTGACCCAGACCCGTTTTCGTTGGTTTGAAACCAACATCTCTACACAAACGTCATTTCTCGTTTATGTCTTGTGTCAAAACTTGGATTGTCATTTCATTTTTATCCGTCAACAAGCAAGTTGAATTATGGAATTTTAATTTGAACTTTATCTAGGACATCCGATGTACTAGTTATCTTAAATATTTTTAATGACCGTCTGTTTTTAAAAAAGTTAAAATTCCTACCGATATTTTGTTGAAAATATATATTTAGTACAAGAATTTCTTTATTAAAATGTCAAATTTGAAACATAACCTCAACACCTCAATACATTGAAAAACACAAGAACGCATGTTTTATATAATTTCATATGTTATTTTGTTTGAAATAGATAATATGCTTAACTATATTTAAATATGTTAAATAGACTTTTTCTTTTCCTATTAAATTTGGTCTCTGTGAAGCTATTCATTTAATAATTTAAATTATACATTTGATAGTAAAAAGCATCTTATCTGTTCCTATATAAATTCTCCCTAATTTCTTTCTTTATATTTTTACCTTTTTCCTTGTAGCCTTGCTGTATATAGATGGTCCTAAAGAAATCCTATAGAAGTTATACAGATGGTTTCAGTAGAAGTCGATAGAAATTATATAGATGGTTCAGAAGTTCAATAGTAGCTCTATCTACATGAATTTGGAAGAACGTACAAGCTGCATCTTAAGAAATTCGGAAGAACGTAGAATACATCAAGAAGTTTAGTTCAACCACCGAGAGAAGTTAACGAGATTTAACACTACCTTTATAAATTTACCAAGAAGGCCTCTATAGTCACTCCTTACCTGTTACCTGTTATACCACAGATAAGTCAATAAATCATTTAAATTTTAATAATTAAGTCTCTGTGAATTAGAATTTGTCGCTACCTTATTTAATTATAATATCATAAAGATTAGTAATTTTCTATATTTTAATCACTGATCGATTGTCAAGTTTAGAGAGTTCTAAATATAGTGGCGTCCAATATTCTTTTTCAAAGTCATATGAGTTGTTTAATAACCTGACCCACTCCCCAAAATCGTAGAGCTTAAAATACTATAAAAATTGATAAAATAATAAGATCACATTACACCGTCTCATAATGATTATAGTAAAGGTTAATTACTTATTATTATTTTAATATCACATCTTTGTAAAGTTAATTGTTATTTTTTTTAGGTTTCCTTTTCTTGATATGAGAAAGAAATATATGATTCCAAAATATAGGAATTCAACAAGTGACCACCTGAATAACTTTTTATGCTAATGAACATCTTTATTACAGACCTCAGGGGAGGAAAATATTAAAGAAAAATGTAATTTCGACGAAAGAAGTATGATAATCAATCCTGTCACTACTTCTACACTATATTCATCTGCTACTAAAATACTAAAACAGCAAGTAAGTAGAGAAACTTAAGTTTCTTTCAAAAAGAATGTTTAAGGAAAAAGGCATAGCCATTTTGTTTGTTGACACTTTTTTTTAACTAATCTAAAAGACTTATTTTGTGTATTGTTTTAATTTTCATTTTTTGTACTTAATTTGTTTTAGGTTTAAACAAAATGAACTTCTAAGATATGCAAGGAATATTCCAAAAGAGGTTTTAAAATTCTTAAGAAAACTATTCAGAGCCAAAAACATAAAATAGTCTTCCTGTCCAAAATATAAATAGGTATAAATATTTAGATATTATGAGTGATTTTTTATTCTATAAATAGAACATATTTTGCTTCTAAATCACTGCCTAATGAAATATATTATATAGTTCTAACTAAACAAGAAGATCACATTATTCATGTTTTTTTTTAATTTCCTTAAAAACCTTCCCAAAAAAATGTGAATATTTATTATTGGAGTTTACATCGTTATCCTAAAACAATACTAGAACAACTTAAATAATGTGGATTTTGACTATTTTAAGTTATGCAGATCATTATGATCTAAAAAAATGTTTGTCTGGTGCTATAGTCAGGTATAAAAACATTCATTTACTTAAACACAGTTGCAATATACATTTTATTTAGTTTTTAAGTTAAAACCTATTAGGGCATCCTAAAATGAATTTTTTCGTTTGATGTGAGATTAATTATTCTACATTTTTGTTGGTGAAATAGGATATATTAAGATGTATTACGGTTTTCTCTGATTATCTAAAAAGTTAGAACAATATACAAAGACTGTTATAACAAAAAAGAGATCTACTTTTACTTAAACACACAATTAGTCAGTTCAATTGTACGATAATTTAAAGCAGAAATCCAGAAAACTTTAAAAATGTATTTTTACTATAACCAGGACATAATTATTAAAAAAACATTAACATTGACGATAGGTTTTTATAACATATATTATACAAATCACAACGAACTACACAAAATGACATTATTAATAATTTAGCAATAAAAAAGTTAAGTATAATGATGACATTAAAAGTTGAGTTTCTCGAAATAATTTTTTTAAATTGTCTCAGTACCTACCTAGTATTTTTCTAGCACAATGATATTATATGAATGTGCATTGTGTGATATCTTATATTTTAGGAATAAATATATATTTTTTGCAGGTTTCTGTTAACAACGATTCCAAGAACTTTTGAAAATATTATTAAAACG